GATTTTTGTTTTCTTTATGTTGAGGTGTAATCCATACTGAAGGCTGTAGTCTTTGATCTTCATCAGTAAGTGCTTCAAGTCTCCTTCACTTTCAGCAAGCAAGATTGTGTCATCTGCATATCGCAGGTTGTTAATGAATTTTCCTCCAGTCCTAATGCCCCGTTCTTCAAGTAGTCCAGCTTCTTGGATTATTTGCTCAGCATACAGATTGAATAAATGTGGTAAAAGGATACAACCCTGATGCGCACCTTTCCTGACTTTAAACCATGCAGTATCCCCTTGTTCTGTTTGAATGACTGCCTCATGATCTATGTATAGGTTCCTCATTAGCACAATTAAGTGTTCTGGAATTCCCATTCTTTGCAGTGTTGTCCATAATTTGTTAATATCCACACAGTTGAATGCCTTTGCATAGTCAATAAAACACAGGTAAACATCTTTCTGGTATATATTTTTGAATATCAGGAACTCATACATACACAAACGTGCACATTTCACATTGGAAGAAAAAAGAATATCTTGGGCACTGAGGTAGAGTGAGCATGGGTACAGTGGAGGGCTAGAGCCTCACAGTCTGATTCTCTCATTTTACATGCCTGTAGGCCTGTGTTTTCATGAGTTTTTTGTTACATTGGCTTGGACAGGAACCCTCTTATGTGGCCTGTGATGAAGGAATTCACTGGAGGTGAAAGCCCAGTCATTTCTCAGCGTTGAGAATAAATGAGGAAAGGGTGTTCATCCGTGTAGTGCTTCTGTGTTAAAGAATTGAACTCAAATACAATTACTATTGAACTTGTTAAAATTTCTTGATAAATAGGGATACCAGATTGACTTCTCTCATGATCTTCTGCATGCTTCATTTTCTCTTTCTCTGATTACCAGGTACTGTTTCCTCAAGGAATACAAATTAATTAGATCAGTCTTAACAAAAATTAATCAGGAGGGAAGCACTTCACAGTTGGTTGTTAGAGCTGAGCTAGGCAGGCCACTGACATCTGTGAAGGAAGACAGACTTTAAGAGAGAAGGAGCAGGACTGGTGATTAGATAGTTGGACATTAGGGGAAAACTCTCTTTGTAGAGAAGTGGAAAGTTGAGAGTGCTGTTACCAGAGTAAACCAACAGGATTTTGGGGCCTGGTTGGACCAGGGAGTAGAGTACTCTTATTGAGAGTTTCTAAAATGAATCCCAGTATAAGTTCTCATGCAGGGAGTTCTGGGAAAGATTTGACGTGGTAAACATATCACATTGTCAGGGGAATCTTAGCTTGCGGTGTCAGCATCTTAGTACTCAGGCTGGGAACTACAGGGCTACTCAAGGTTTTAAAACAGAATGCATAGAATATAATGTGTACAGCTGAGATATTTTCCAGGGTCAAAATAGAGCCTTTCTCTGATCCAAAGGACATTATGAAGCTTTGGTTTCATACCTGCCACAGACAAGTGGAATTAGAGGCAATCAACTCTTTAAGCTCGTCTACACGTAAGCTTTATGTTTTGTTGCCAAGTTGCACTTAGATGGTATCCACAGAAATGGAGTCTGTATGTTGTCTTTCCTCTTTCAGCTAAGACGTTTAGATGTCTGAATCATGTAATGTAGGTGTGGTTCTATGCTTTTTCTAATAAGAGGTACCCTTTTTAAGGTCCAAAAATTATTAGACTCCCCCTCAACAAAATGATAACTGCGTTTTTAGTATACATTACAAAAAGCTGCTATGATTTCAGCAATGCTTTTAGATCAGTTTGTCTTATTAGTTACACCAGTATCCAAATTCAGTTGAAATATAGTATATACATACTTGTAAGAGATACTGTTTATTCAGACTGAAGGTAATGCTTATACAGATTTCTTTGTAATAACCCCAGAGCCTTGCAGAGGTTCAAAACCCATGGGTTGTGAATCACTCATGTAAATTGGGTTTAAGATATGTGTCCAGAAAACTGTCTACTCATGCATGGAAATCTATAGGCTTATTTTAAATCAATTATATCGTACATTTTGAAAGCCAAAATATAAGTATTTCAAATGTCTGTTGAACTAAGTCTTGAAATAAGCAGAATAAATAAAGTTCTTTAGAAGTAGGACTTTTGACTTATGGTTGCTTTGTTTATTCTGCTTAGTTCAAGTCAGAGCTAATAGTCTAATGCTCTTGAATTTCTTGGTAAGTTTAGGCAGTAATCATGTGTCCTTTATGCAGATATTTATATGTGGACTATAATTAGGATAGCACAGTGGGTGAAACCACCGCTATAATTGGGGCGTGTCTTCTTTGTGAGACTTTCAGTGGTTATGTAATGCTGAGTGATTTCAGAAGATTCTTTGAATAGTAAAGGGAAGCAAAAGACATCTCTACCTACGTGAGCTTTAAGTTTAGTTATAAACAAAAAACTAATGTACATAAAACACGTAGCGAAAGATTGAAGGAAATGTGGTATAGTGGAGAAAGCCAGCTTTGAAGTCAGAATTCAAATGGCCCTGGGTTCAAAATCCAGACTCTTATGTAGTCCTCAGAACGATCCTTTGAAACAGAAGCTAGAATAGGCAATGTCGTGTTTTACAGTAAGTAAACAGAAATAGCATCTCAAAATTTCATTTGCCTAAGGACGCAGAACTGGTACATTGCAGAGTCAGGATTTGAATCCCTGTCTTACACTCTGTGCCTAGTTGCCCCTCCCCCCGCAACAACCATAGGACACAAAGTCCAAATTCCTTAGTTTGAGGTTCAAGACCATCCCTAATAAGGTCTTACCTACCTCTTTCAACCTTATCTCTCTCTGTTCCCATAAACCTTAGCTCCTGCATTTGGCAAGTCCTTGCCAAGGATCACAGGTAAAGGTCTTTCTTTTTTATTGTTTGCAGGTTAGCTCCAGGTAAATTATTCATGTAGTTCCTCTTGCCAGGAATATCCTACCCACTCCTCTCTGCTAACTATGACAAGAGGTCATCTGTCCAAAGAGAAGGATGAAAGGTATTGTGATTTAGGAGAAAAGAAAAGACTGCAAAGACTATTATGGGCATTTATTTAAAAAGGGAAAGAAATGATTAAAGAGGTTGACAGGTTAGGATCAGGAACTTAGTTGCAGCTAGACAGTTCTAATCTGTGGTGTACCTGATCTGTACACGTCATCTTCCTCCAGCAGTGCTGTGTGGATGTTCAAGAGATCTCAAACCCTAAGATCTCTCTTGGTTTCCTCATTTTCGTGCAAGCCAGTCAGTGGGGTCTGGCTATCTTCCTCTCCTCTTGTACCTATCTTTGCTTGTTCCCTCTCTCTTCCTTTTACAGTGTTAAATAAACATTTCTTCAAAAAAAAAAAAGATGGTGTTCTGATTTTGTTTGGCTTGCTTATTTATTTTACTATGTTGTGTGTGTGTAGGGGGGAGGAAAAGTTGTACTGGGGTACAAAAACACATATACTTATCCAATATTTGAGTGAGAACTGTATCCCAGCCACTTTTATTAAAGCTAGTCTTTTTATTTACTGGTGACTGAGGTCGAAAGAAAGGTTTGCTGTGGCAGTGAGGAGGGAAGGTCAAGTATGCTCATTTGCCCCACCTTATATTCCCCAGATTCTTGCATATTTAATATCTTTTCCCCTGTGCCTTGTTTTTTTCTTCCCTGTATGTTGTAATGTGAAAGATACAAAGCTAAAGAGAGTCACGATTTATCTTGCTGTAACTTTTTTTCTGGTTTCTTCTGGCACAAGGTTTACAAAGCTGTGGAAAGAGAAAGGAAGATTTTTGTATTACTGTCTCACGATTTAGAATAGCAACAAACTTTCTGATGTAATAAAGAGTCTGACTTGATCTGGGATATGTGTTTGATAAACCCTCTGGACTAGAGAGGGAGTGGCAAAGGAAAGAAGAAATGTATTAACGTGTGTTGTGTCTTATTGTTGAAGTTGGGGTTGTAACCTTTAGCAAATTTAATTGACCCTCATGGATGTAGGGGAGGAAGCTAACTTTTGATCTCTCTTTTCTGGAAGGTCAGACAGTCGAAGAAGTAGATGCCACTCAGAATGTTTAAGGTAGGTCCCGGGTATGGTGAGTGCTGCATGGTTGGCACAATGATAGGACAGGGATACTCACTGAAATTAGTTTCCTGAGCTGAGGGAGGCACAGAGAACCAGGAAACTCCCTCATCCTTTTCCTCACGTGTAAGCAAAACTTGATCTACATGATCTTTCTGGGCCTGAGAAAACTTGTATACTTTTTATTCTACTAAACATTACCTCTGTCTTAATTCTGCTAAGCCTTGAGTTGGGGGAGGAGGATAAAGAAAAGGAAGCTCATGTGTAGTGCATATTTTCTTGTTTATTCAAATATTTAGCTTTAATTTTTATTTTTCTTTTGTAATCTTCTGAAGCTACTTAAATTGAATACAGAAGAAAACAAATCATTGGATTTAAAAGTCCGTTCTCCTCTTCACCTGTCTGAAAAAAGTAAAAGAGTTTAAAGACTTTTTTCCCCTAGGGTAACTTGGGAGTCAAAAATTGTAAGTGGTAATAAGTTGTGTGGCTAGACTCCGTTTCTTCTCTTTAGAGTTTTTATTCTTCATGAAGAAATACAGTTTATTTTACTGATGACAGAGTAGCCTAACTATCTGAGGGAAATTAGTTTCAGTAAAAAATGAAGTCTGAAGGGTCAGACTGCTTGCTTGATATTCACCAGTTGTCTCCTGAAAACTAGCATAAGGCTTACATTGACAGGTCGTTACCAAGGATCACAGGTAAGATGTGTTACCATTTGATGGTTTGCAGTTGAAGGGCTGGAATAAGCAAGTGTTTAAGTGGCCGTTTTTCTGTAAATGGGAAGAGGCAGTCTCAGAATGGGGAGTGCAGTGAAGGAGGTGAGAGAGGTGCTTTGCATATAGTGGGTAATTACTGAGAGCACAAGGGTTTAGAGGGAGAAGGACCTGTATTGATTGCTGGGAACTTTGGCAACATTTAAACCTCTTTGTGCCTGTTGCCTGATGAGTAATGAAGGGATGCTTGCCTGGAAGGGTTGTATGAGGTTTAGAATCACTGTATGTAAAGCATCTAACCCATCAAATTCTTCAGACAAATTTATTAAGAGCCAACTATGTATCTAGTAGGAGCCCTGGTGGCACAGTGGTTAAGTGCTCAGCTGCTAACAGAAAGGTTGGAGGTTTGAACTCACTCCGTGCACCCAGGGGCTCCATCAGAGAAACGACCTGGCAGTCTTCTACCCATAAAGATTACACCCTAGAAAACCCTACGGGGCAGTTCTACTCATAACACGCAGTCACTGTAAGTTGAAATTGATTCAACAGCACCTAACAGCATCATGTACCTGATAGTTTCTTTTTGTTGGGATGAACAAGACAAAGTTAACTGCATTTATGGAGCTTACATTCTGTTGGCACTCAAACTGGTAGTTGTGATTATTTTGAGGAAAGCTTAAGTAAAATGGAACTAGGAATGCCAAGGACAGGCAAAATCTTGCTTCAGTTACTAATTATACAAAAACATAATGACAAATCATTTCAAGTTCCAATTTCTTTGTTATCCATTAGGAAAAATGCCTGATCCATATTGATAGATGGTGCTCAGAGGACTCGGCTACAAGTGTTTAATATCCTCAATCTGGCTATCAGACTTTGCTGAGGAGCTGCATTGTTGAAAATCCACCTCGAGACCAAGTCTGTCCCTTGCCTTGGTCATCTTCACATAATCACTGCCATCGAGTCTATTCTGACTCATAGCGACCCCATAGGATTTCCAAGGCTGTAAAACTCTGGCAGCAGACTGCCACATCTTTCTCTTGTGGAGCTGCTGGTGGTTTCGAACTGCTAACCTTTTAGTTAGCAGATGAGCACCTTAACCAATAGAGGCAGCTTTATTTACTTGCCTCTCCTACAGGACTTCTTCCCTAACAGCTCTGACCTCCTACCAAATGGAAAGTCTGATTCATGTGTCTTCCTCTAGACACTGTGACATCTTTCGTCCCTTTGGACCAGTTTTGCACTTGGATTGGTTGGATGTTTTCCTGAATGCACAGCCAGGGCTTGTGGAGCATTTTCCTCTTGTACTCTGGGCTTCCTTTCCATTCTCCTCCTCCTGAAGAGTAAGCAGGGTGTGAGAGGTATAGCACTTTGATTGCTTTGGGTGCTTAAGGCTCTTGGACTTACCTTGAAGGGCCACCAGGCTGGTGACCAGCATCACCCAGGCCTCTTCTTGCAGGAAGCCTGAACTGGGAACACCGTCTCTATGGCTGAACTCAGGGTGTTGTCTGTGTTTCAGTCCCATCACTGTGTAGTTTCCTGTCTCTAGTTCAAAAGATAATCAGTGGGTCAGGGAAGGGTTTCAGAAATCATCAGAACCTTCTTTTGCATCTTCTTAGAAGATCTGTTTTATGATCTCCAAGGACACCTCCCAGCCTAAGTCAATGCCCAAATAAGTATCTTTGACATTTGTAGGTGATGATGATGATGTGCATAAGCAGCAATAAATAAACACAGAATCTACTGTGTGTCAGGCACTGGGGATGCAAATAGGCTCCTGAAGGAACTGTAAAGTCTTGCCAATTGTTAGTTGCCGTGAGTTGGTTCTGACCCTTAGTGACCCCAAGTGTGCAGAGTAGAACTGCTCCATAGGGTTTTCAAAGCTGTGACCTTTTGGAAGCACATTACCAGGCCTGTCTCCTGAGGCAGTGCTGGGTGGGTTTAGACTGCCAACTTTTGGCTAGTAGTCGAGCCACCCAGGGACTCAAAGTCTTGCCAGAGAGACAACAAAAATGACTTAGTCACTTGGACTTGGGTGTCCCCAAATCTTTTTTACAAACCGTCTTCTGGAGTGAGCCAAGCAGTTTAGCATAAGTTAAAATCTTGGGCTTTGAAATAGATCGGGATTTTTATCCACCATTTACTATCTGGGTGAACTTATACAAATTATCTTTGAGCCTCAGTTGTCACAAGATAATACTACCTACCTCAACAGGCCATGAAGATGAAATAATCAATGTATTACTTAGCACAATGCCTGACATTATTAATATAATCTGTTACCTATCTGGCCTTATTTATTTTGCCTTCCAAAAGGAACCTTATTCCCACATTTGGGGAGCACTCATATGTGCTGATTCTAATACTTAAATATGTTGAGAAGATGAAGAAAGGTATTCTTTTGGGAGAACCATCACAAGTAGAAACTTAGGGCATATTAGGAGAACGTGAATACTAGATAATAAGGAGCAAGGACTGTGTCGTACCTCATTCTGGTCCCCAAGGCTTAGCACTTGTACCTGGGATGCATAATAAATATTTGTTGGATGGATGATAGAGGAACGTCAACTAGAGCAGGCTGACTGGAACAGAATATTCACACAAGTAGCAGAATGAAATTTTATAGAGCCTTCAAGTCAGGCTAAAGTAGTTTTGACTTTATCCCACAGACAGTGAGGAGCCATTAAAGCTCTTTGAATGGTGGTTTGGCCTGTATAAATTAGCATTTTAGAAAGGTCAGTCTAGTGGCAGTATGTAGTAATGGATTGGAGGCAGAGACAGTAGTTAAGAGTTGACAAACCATTTATTAGAAAACAGCTAAATGCCAGGCCATGAGGTAGGTGTGGGAGATACAAAGATAAATGAGACACAGTCGGTGATCTCAAGAGGCTCACCCATTAGGACGCTATTGGGATATTTTAAGTGTGAAGTGATGAATACCTGGAAAGCACAGTTAGAAAGAAAGGAACAAATGTGGGAAAGAACTAGTAGTACTTAATAACTGACTGGATGGAGGAAGAGAAGAAAGGAGGAACCAAAATTTTGAGCCTGGTGACTTTTAAGAATTCATGGACAGAAATAAGGGTCTCAGGAGAATAGGTTTGAGTTTGAGGAGATGGTAGGATATCCAGGTGATAGGGGCCCAGTTGTCAGTGGGAGTGTGAAATTAAAACTTAGGAAAGAGGGTAGAGCTGGAGAAATTGATTTGCAGGTCAGTTACAAGGAGGTGCTGGTTTAAATCATGAAGGTGGATGAGAACTTGGGAAAGATTGTAGAGAGTGAAAGTGAAAGGGTGAGGAGTCGTGAGGAATGAGTCTTAAGGAATGCCCATATTTGGGAGGTGGGAGGAGGAAATAGGGTTAGAGAAGGAGAGAAAAGAACAGCCAGAAAGGTAGAACTGGGAGGAGTACAGAGTCACAGAAGCCAATAGCAGTGAGAGTTCGATGAAGGAGAGAGATTAATAAAAGTGCTGAATGCTATAGATAGGTCAAGTGGGAAGATACCAGGAAGCAAGGAAGAAAATATAAATCAAACTAGACTGAAGTAGAAAATTCAAATTAAGTAATATGATGAGAACATTTGTTAAAAGGCTCTGGGTCAGGATTTTATATTTATTTTTCTTAACATTAAAAAGTAAGATGGTGCTTAAAAGTTCATAATGAGTAATTTTTAAAAAACCCCGGTTGATCGGACTCATAGTGACCCCGTAGGATTTCCAAGGCTGTAAATCTTTACGAAAGCAGGCTGCTGCATCTTTCTCCCTCAGAGCCGCTGGTGGTTTTGCACCACCAACCTTTCAGTTAGCGGTGGATCACTTTAACCACTGTGCCACCAGGTCTCCATATAAAGAATAATAGCAGTGTCTTTTCGTCCTCCTAGGCTCATTCCCTAGAAGTTCAATCACTCTCAACTCTGAGGTGTTTTGCCATATTCCTAAATAATATTCTCATGTTGTTACTTCTTGATGATGAAGTTTAGACATTATCTTTCAACTTCCTGTTATAGTAGATGAGGATATGGCTCTCTTATACCTCCACCCACTTCCTTTCTCTGTGTCCTGCCAAAATAATTCTATCACAAATTTTAGTTAAATTGGTAATGTTTACATTATTTGGATTCTGTAAATTTTATTGCAGAGTCAAGTTGTGTATACTATGATTATGCTTCCTTTTGTAAAACTTTGTACTTTTCCTGGAGATAATGATCACCTGATTTTATTTTACTTTTTTTTACTTCCAGAGTTTTCCATATCCATATCTTTAATTCCTTTCATCACATTTGTCGTGAGTTTTCAGAAAGATAATCTATCAGTTCCATTTTCTCCTCGAGATCTTCCTTCCAGACCCTTCTTTCTCTTGCTCTCTTCTGGACTAAATTTTTTTTTTTTTTGCCTTTTTTCATTCTAGAACTTCCTTCTCCCCTTACCCTTGTTAGATTCCTTGTTTCCTGGATCACTTTCTTATTTTACTAAAACACATCCCTTGGTAGTCAAATTTTTTGAGTCATCACATGTTTGTTGCCATTGAGTCGATTCTGACTCACAGTGACCCTGTGTGTGCAGAATAGAACTGCTCTATAGGGTTTTCAAGGCAGCAGATTGCTAGGCCTGTCTTCCAAGGCGCCTCTGGGTGGTTCTGAACTGCCAACCTTTCGGCTAACAGTTGAGCGCTTAGCTGTTTGCGCCACCCAGGGCCTCCTTTGCATCTCTGACAGGGCCTTTCCTCACATTTGATTGGTAGTTTGACTGGGTATAGCATTCTAGGTAGAACATAATTTTCTCTCAGAAGTTTGAAGACTCAGAGTATTGTCTTGGAATATAGAAACACGGAGAGTCTCCTTGCTGGGTACGTAAATGAGGGAGTCTTAGAGCTGGAGCTGGAGTGGCCATATTTTGGCCATGCCAGAGTAGTAATGGAGCAGAGGGAACATGCACAGAATGAAGGAGAGATGCAAAGATGAGAGCCCTTGCTGTCCCCGAGAGATTGAGACAATAACTAGCAACCTGTTGGCTTTCTGGTTTCTGATTCCAGAAACTGGAACCATGAGGGACAGCTGTACTTCTTGCTTTATTCCCCACCCCACCCCACCCCCGCCTTGAATCACTGGTAACTTGAGTAGGTTTCTGTTTCTTGCAACTAGTTTCTCCTTAAAACAACTATTTTATCTCAAATCCATCTCTCTCCCAACCTGAAGGCCAGTGTCTATATTTAAGGGGCATCTCTGGGGAGAGCTCTGAATTGGAAGTCAGGAGGCCTAAGTTTTGGACCCCTCTGCTTTTTTGGAACCCTGGTGGTCCAGTGATCAGGAGCTCTGCTGCTAACTAAAAGGTCAGCAGTTCAAATCCACCAGCCACTCCTTGGAAACCCTATGGGGCAGTTCTGCTTTGTTCTGTAGGGCCGCTGTGAGTCAGAATCGACTCGACAGCGATGGGTTTGGTTTTTTGGTTATTTGCTTTTACTGGCACTGGTTAGTGAGTAGCATTAGAAAAGTTGCTTCATCTCCCTATGACTCAGCCTACCTCAATAAAAATGGGATGGCTACCCCAGTCAGATTTTTTAAATTAAAGACAGAATGAGATTACCTTTGTGTGTGTGCTTTGAGGAAAGACAGCATCTGCCAGTGGGAGTGATGGCATAGGACTCTCCCCAAGGAGATTGCCTATCCAGGACCTGAAATATCTACCTCTGTCTCCAGCTGTCAACCCTGTTCACACTTCCACGTGGTGGCATCAGGGTTATCAGGAGCTCACCTGTGACTAAAATGGAGAAAAAATGGCCCTGAAGGTGGATATCTGGCTTCTGGCTTCTGGCACAACACTGGTAGGTCCCATTGTCCAATGGCGTGACTTGATTTATGGTGAACACCAACTGAGATGATCTCTCACTGGCATCATCTGTCCCAGGATCTGGTTTAAGTCTCAGCTGCTCCAAGCTGGTCTCAGGGGAACAGTCCTTAATCCTGTCCTTGCACAAGAACACTACAAACCCCTCAGCCTCTTTCTTATGCCACACAGTACAGATTAAATTCAGTTCCTTTCCTTTCTGGGAAATTGAGCTGGAGATACGTGTGGATCCTAGAATTAGAAGGGAAAAATTACCCATGGGAGGCAGGTAGAGTCCCTTGAATCCCACCATAGCTGCTCCCTATCACTAGAGGTCTTCAAGGAAGAACTGAAGCATGACCTGGCAGCGACCCCAGCAGACAGGAAACCCAAGTTCTAGCTCTGTCCCTGCCTGTGTTACACAAATAGGCAAGTTAACAACTCCTTTAAGCAGTAGTTTATTCATCTGGAAAATGAGAAGTAAGGGATTAAATAAACTCACAGCTTCTATTCATAGATTTGTTCATTTGTACCTTTAACAAATGTTTATTAGGCATCCATTCTGCCAAGCATATAATCTATAAGAACCTGAAGGAATCTTAGATTGATACTCAGATTTCAAGACTTCTAACACATAGCAGAGGCAGAATGTCTGATGGGGAGGGAAATAGTTGTTAGAACAAAAAAGAAAAACTATATTTTTCACCCTTTCACAACAAGTGTCGAGAAAAATAGGTTTTTTCTTCCCCACCAGAAAAAAAACGATGGAGTCCATCACATCTGATGGGCCCAGAATTCTCTGGGGTTCTGTCCTCACCAACAGGTTGGATGTCCACAGTTGCCAGCAGGATGGCCAGGACAAAACAGCCTCTGCCAAGTGCCATCAATGTCTTGCACATTGTTAGCAGCCCCAGGAACTTGAAGCAAATGTTGACTCCGCTGATGTCCTTCACCTCACTCCTGAAAGCGCAGAGGAACAGTTATGGATTAAATTGTGTCCCCTCAAAAGATATATTAAAGTCCTAATACCTGTACTTGTGAATGCGACCTTGTTTGGAAATAGGGTTTTTCTTTTGTTATCAGTTAGGTGAGGTCATACCAAAGTAGGGTGGGTCCTAATTTCTATCCCTTCCCAGTGGTGTTTTATAAAAAGGGAGTCAAACACAGAAAACAGACACCATGTGACAACAGGCAGACACACCTGTAAGCAGCAAAGAACGCCTAGTATTGCTGGCAGCCACCAGGAACTAGGAGAGAGGCATGGAAAAGTTCTTTCAAAACCCCCAGAAGGACTCAACAAGGCTGAGACCCTGATTTGGACTTCTGGCTTCCAGAACTGTGAGAAAATAAATTTCTGTTCTTTAAAGCCACCTACTTAGTGGTGTTTTGTTATGGCAGCCCCAGCAAACTAAGACAGGGACCTAATAGACAAGTCATTCCGGGGCTTTTAGACCATCTCTCTGTTCCATTGGCTAGAGTCTGATGGAGGTGGAGGAGGGTTTGGGCATGAGAGTTCACCTGGCTGGGAAGTGAGACAGGAAAGTAAATCAAGTGAAGTGTATGAGGAGAAGAGGGAAAGAGAGACCCGGAGAGACTAAAAGCTACATTTTTCCTTAAGTTGGATTGCTAAGTCAAAAAATAAGAGCATTAAATTTTTTTCCACTATGTATATCAGATTGTTCTCCAAAAAAGAATTCTTGATAATGTACATTTCCTCATGCCCTTGTCAGCACTGCATATTATCTGTCTTATATTTTTGCCAGTCTGATGAACAAAAAGTTAGATCTCACTGTTGTTTTATTTTGCATTTCTATGACTAGTGAGGTTGAGGATCTTTTCATATATTTATTGGACACAGTATTTCCTCTTCTATGAATTGCCTGTTTATGTTCTTTGCTTTTTTTTTTAATCATCTTTTAGGAACTTTTTCTATATTAGAGATTTTAACCTGCCTTTTTTTTTTAATAAATATTTTCTCTCAATTTGTTGTTTTGTCTCTTGACTTTATTTATGATGCTTTTTCCCATAAGGAAAATTTACTTAATATAATGGGACCCTGGTGTCGGAGTGGTTAAAAGCTCGGCTGCTAACCAAATGGTTGGCAGGTCGAATCCACCAGCCGCTCCTTGGAAATCCTATGAGGCAGTTCTACTCTGTCCTGTAAGGGTCGTTATGAGTTGGAATTGACTCGACGGCAATGGGTTTGGGTATATGAAATAAATACATTTTTATTTTTTAAAAGCCTCTCTAAATGTGTTTATATGTTTTGATATTTTTAAACACTTATAGTTTATAATATTTTGGGTAGGTAGTTACAGGGTTCAAAATTCAAAAAGTACAAAGGGATATACAGAGCAAAGTTTCTTTCCTACTCCCACCCTCCAGTGACATAATACCCTTCCCCAGAGTCAACCCATATTGCCAGGTTCTTGTGGATCCTTCTGGAGATGTTCTATGTATGTCAGAGATATTCTATGTATGTATAAGCAATTCCACGTTTTTCCTTAAAAAAAAAAACAAAACAAATGATAGCATACATTTTTTTCACTTACCAATATGTTCTGGAGATCATTCCATATTAGTATATGAAGAACTTTCTCTTTTTAAAAATAGCTGCACATGTTCATATTTATATGAATTTATTTACATAGATTCCTTAATAAGAAATAATGTGAACATTTAGGTTATCTCCAATCTTTTCTTTTTCAAACCATACTGCAATGAATAACTTGTACATACATCAGTTTGCACATGATAAATCTCTAGAAGTGGCATTGCTAGGTCAAAGGGTATATGCATTTGGTATTTTGAGAAATGTTGCCATACTGTCCTCCACAGAAGTTGCACCAACTTGCTTTCTCATCAGCGATGTATGAGAATTATCTGTTACCTTGTACCCGTGCCAACAATGTGATGGTAATTTGAGAGATGAAAATGGTCTCAGTGTTGTTTTAATTTACAGTTCTCTATCATGACTGAGGTTGAGCATATTTTCATATGTTTAAGAGACATTTGTTTTTCCCTTTCTATTAAATGTCTGTTCATATCCTTTGCCCATTTTGCTATTGGACTGTTGGTAGTGGTGGTGTTTTTAGATTGATTTGAAAGAGGCCTTTATATGTTCAAAGATCAGACCTTTGTGATGGGAAGTAGAAGTATTCTAGTTTGTCTTCCAACTTTCCTTATGGTGATTTTTGTTTTGCAGAAATCTTTTTATTTTCATGTCATTAAATTTATCAATGTGTTCTTTATTTTGATGGCTGTCAGGTTTTGTGACATGATATAAAGGCCTTCCCCACACCAAGACTGAAAAAAATTCTCCCATAGTTTTTTCTAATACTTTTAATTTTTCATTTAAATTTTTGGTCTGTAGGAATTTATTTTTGTGGCAGATGTGAAGAAGTATGGATCTAACTTAATTTTTTTCAAGTTATCTACCAGTCATTCTAATACTTTTAGTAGAGTAAAGCTTTTCACCACTGATTTGAAATGCTACCTTTATCTTATACACAGTGTGTGTGCATATCTATTTCTGGACATCCATTCTATTTATACATGTGCCTGACAAATATAGTAGATTTACATTTTTAATTCTTAGAAAATTATAGTTTTATATTTATTAATATTTAAAATGTCTTAATTATTTTTCATAGATTTAGAATGTTTTCACATCTAGTCTCCCTCTTTATTTATTCAGAATTTTTCTGTTTATTTTTTTATCTGGTTCTTATAATCAGCTTGTCTAATCTTTCCCCTCCCATGCCCGTCACCACTACCAAGAAAAAGTCCTATTGGTATTTTTTTAATTGGGATAAATTGAATTGAGAATTAAAATTTTTGTGACACTGAGTCTTTTTATCCAAGAACATTATATTCCTTTCCATTTTTTAAGTCTTGTGTATTGGTGTATGTGTTTCTCAGCCATGTTTAGAAGTAACCTTCATAAAGATCTTCTCCATTTCTTAAGATTATTTCTGAGTATTTAATATGTTTTGTGTATGACCTTGGTGATAGAAATGACTCCAGAGATCACATGATAGAATTTTGCAAGACCAATGATATTCATTGCAAATACCTTTTCTCAACAACATAAATGATGACTATAGACGTGGATGTCACCAGATGGAAAACACAGGAATCAAATCAACTATGTCTGTGGAAAGAGATGATGGAAAAGCCAATATCATCAGTCAGAACAAAGCCAGAGGCTGACTACAGAACAGACCATCAATTGTTTATATGCAACTTAAGTTGAAGCTAAAGGAAATTAAAACAAGTCTGCGAGAGCCAAAATACGACCTTGAGTATATCCCACCTGAATTTGAATACCATCTCAAGAATGGATTTGACACATTGAACACTAATGACTGAAGACCAGATGAGTTGTGGGATGACATCAGGATATCATGCATGAAGAAAGCAAAAGTTCATTAAAAGACAGGAAAGAAAAGACCAAAGTGGATGTCAGAAGAGACTCTGAAAGTTGCTTTTGAACATAGAGTAGCTAAAGGGAATAGAAAAAGTAATGAAGTAAAAGAGCTGAAAAGACGATTTCAAAGGACAGCTCAAGAAGACAAGGTTAAGTATTATAATGAAATGTGCAAAGACCTGGAGTTAGAAAACCAAAGGGGAAGAGCACGCTCAGCATTTCTCAAGCTGAAAGAACTGAAGAAAAAAATTCAAGCCTTGAGTTGCAATATTGAAGGATTCTATGGGCAAAATATTGAACAATGCAGGAAGCATCAAAAGAAGATGAGAGGAATGCATACAGTCACTGTACTGAAAAGAATTGGTCGACGTTTAACTATTTCAGGAGGTAGCATATGATCAAGAACTGATAGTATTGAAGGAAGAAGTCCAAGCTGCATTGAAGGCATTGTCGAAAAACAAGGCTCCAGGAATTGGCAGAATACCAGTTGAGATATTTCAACAAAACGGATGCAGTACTGGAAGTGCTCACCCATCTATGCCAAGAAATTTGGAAGACAGCTACCTGGCCAATTGACTGGAAGAGATCCAATTTGTGCCCATTCCAAAGAAAGGTGGTCCAATAGAATGTGGAAATTATTGAACAATATCATTAATATCACATGCAAGTAAAATTTTGCTGAAGATCATTCAAAAATAATGGCAGCAGTACATTGACAGGGAACTGCCAGAAATTCAAGCCAGATTCAGAAGAGGATGCAGAACAAGGGATATCATTGCTAATGTTAGATGAATCTTGGCTGAAAGCAGAGAATACCAGAAAGATGTTTACTTGTGTTTTATTGACTACGCAAAGGCATATGATTGTGTGAATCATAACAGATACGGATAACATTGTGAAGAATGGGTATTCAGAACACTTAATTGTTCTCATGTAGAACTTGTACATAGACCAAGAAACATAGTTAAAATAAAGGGATACTGTGGTTTAAAATCAAGAAAGGTGTACATCAGGGCTATATCCTTTGAACATATTTATTCAATCTGTATGCTGAGCAGATAATAATCCAAGAAGATGGACTATATGAAGAACTCAGCATCAGGATTGAAGGAAGGCTCATTAACAGCCTGCATTATGCAGATGACACAACCTTGCTTGCTGAAAGGGAAGAGGACTTAAAACACTTACTGATAAAGATCAAAGACTACAGCCTTCAATATGGATTACACCTCAAACAAAAATCCTCACAACTGGACCAATAAGCGCCATCGTGATAAATGGAAAAAATATTGAACTTGTCAAGGATTTCAATTTTCCTTGGATCCATGGTCAGCACCCAGGGAAATCAAACAACATATTGCATTGGACAGATCTGCTGCAAAAGATCTCTTTAAAGTGTTGAAAAGCAAAGATGTTACTTTGAGGACTAAGGTGCACCTGACCCAAGCCATGGTATTTTTAATCACCTCCTATTCATGTGAAAGCTGGACAATGAATAGAGAAGACAGAAGAATTGATGCCTTTGAGTTAT